AAACCCTAGAGCTCTAAACCCTAAACCCAAAACCCTAGAGCTCTAAACCAAGCTGAAGCCGCAACCCCAAGCCCCAGAGCCTTGACGCCTAAGCACTACACCCCGACACTGGCCCCAACAATTCGATAAAACCACGAGCCCTCACGCAATAATGTACGGGCCTCAGTAAGTAGAATAGGGTTTGGGGTAGAGCAGACTGTATTCATGATAAGGAACCCCCCAAACCCTATTCTAATCGCTATAAGGCCCCTACATTAGAAACCAAGGCCCTGCAACGCTGGTCTAGCCGGTAGCAGCGGCAGATGACTTTGACTGAAAGCTTGGAGAACACCTGCTTCCCTATCAAACTCCAGGAGCAACTCCTTCCGAAATCTAACACGATATAACAGAACGAAAATAGAATGGAATGGAACAGAATAAAACAGAACGGAACCGAATAGAATAGAATAGCATAGTCCACATCCTATGACAGAAGAAGATATAAGCAATACAATATAAGATCTAAAGGTGTAAGGCCTCGAGGCACGCAGGCGAAGCTGAACCCAATGACGGCTCTATCAAAAGTACTCCAAGGGGCGTAACAGGGGTCTATCAGGGTTCGTATTTGTGGCCGAACCCTGGAGCCCACCTTCAAGTGCAAACCCCTCGGCAAGCCAACGGGTTCTAATGTAGGGGCCTTCAGAATTAGAATCGGGTTTTGGGGTATATTATACTACTATTATAATAAGGAGCCCTCAAAATAGTATAGATTGTTATGTAGGCCCTACATTAGCTCAAGCCGAAACCGCTCAAGAACTCCAGCCGTGAGGCTAGCATGGGGGGATTGAAGGGGGTGATCTTGCCAAGTCTTGACGACCCTGCACTAAATGATCTACTGTAGCACGTTTGCGGGAATCTCCCGAAACGCCAATCCTGAATGGTGAGCTTGGTGTCTTGGCAGGCGAAGTCGTAGATGATGAGGCAGTCGGCAAAGAGCCTCTGGACTGAATCTTGTTCGAGTTGTCAGTGCTGGCTCTCTGATGGTGTTGGTGCCTATTTGAGACATTGCATCGGCTGGGTTGACTGCATGCAAACACGAAGTGTGTGCGCAGAAGCTGCCATGGCTTGCTGCGTTGTTGCGCCCTTGCTGTCAACTTGGCCGGACAGTGCACAAAAGTCATGGCATAACAAGCCTTGTCGTGTGATGATGATGCTAATCGTGTCGTGATGGTCGTCACAATGACTACATCTTCTGTCTTCTGTCACTGGCTTTCAGTCTTGCTATGCAGCTGTCAAAGAACCCAGGACGCAGTAGCCTGCGAATCCGGGGCTTGATGCCTTAGCCTTGGCCTTTGCGTGGGGCGATTGGGGCTGGGGACTTGCAGACTTCTGGGCATTCGGGCGAATATAGGGGCCTTAATAATTAGAATAATAAGGTTTTGGGGCCCATTATGCCATAATTATAATAAGGAACCGGCAAAAACCCTCACCCAAGTGCCATCAAACTCATCACCGAAACTCTCTACAGCTCCAGAAACGGGCACCGTATGCCGTGCAGTTCTGAAGCCTAACAATCTAAATCCTAAACCCTAAACCCTGAACACTAAACCCTAAATGGCCCCGAACCCTAAGCTTCTGCGGCAAGCCGCTGTTTCGAGGTGCAAAGCCTGGGCAGCAGAAGTCCCACTTCCCTACGTGGTTGAGGGTTTAGCATTCAGAATTTAGGGCTTACGGTTTAGGGTCTTGCGTTCGTTGGAGGAGTTGTAGGGCCTCACTAATCGGTATAGCGTTTTTGGATGTAGCTTATACTGTTTGGATGATGCAAAGACGGCATGGGGAGACCGCTACTAGCTGCTAATCAATCAGACCCCGCTGTTCGAAAGTATGCAACCTTCAGGCCAGCTGGACGCAGGTCCACTGCCCGAAGCGAAACCAAGCAAAAACATCCTAAAAATCTAAATACTAAAGGGTTTTGGGATTGGGAATGAGGGCTTAAGGTTTGCCTTCGTGGTACTGTCTCCGGGGGGTAGCTCTCCTCGGATGTTGGGAATGCTAAACTCTCATGGCGGCAGCTTGAAGCCGTTCTGCATCTTGTGTTTGTTCTTAGGCACGACACAATCTCAAGGTCTTTAAATCTACACGACGTCTTTCACCAAGACAACGGTTTAAGCTCCTTTCGCTGCGAGCTGCTTTGTGGCCGAGGCCAGCAGCGCAGGGTCTGTAGCGAGGCCGACGCGGCGCAAGTCCTGGCAGGCTGGTTTCTTGGGAGCGCAAAAGCCCGGAAGGAACCCGTCACAGGATGCAATAACATAGTCAAGCATGTAGAAGCCAGCCTGAACCCTAATTTTCTTAGGGTAAAAACCCTAAACCCTAAACCCTAAACCCTACCCGTCCTTCATCACGCCAAGCGCGTCCTCGGCTTGTCCCACACGGATGGCTGCCGTGACAAGGCTCGTGGAGAGCTGCTGGCTCTCTTCGGCCAGCATCTCCTTTTAGGGTTTAGGGTTTAGGGTTCAGCAGCTCCGGATCGAGCAGTTTTATAGTAGAGCTGTATTTACGGTTTCGATTAAAACCCACCCACCCTTAGAATCCCATAACATTAAGAGAATACAAAGTTCGTTTTATTATCACTTAGCGAAGTTCTACCTACAACTTAGTTTCATACATTTTTATACTCGTAGTAGTAGTAATAGTAAGAATGGTAGTAGTAATTTCCATTTTCGTCAGAAACAAGAAAGGAGTGAGAGTCTATTAAGCAGATTCATAGCTGATTCTGCTATAAACGCCACAGACTCTCGACGTCTTGGCTTGACGGATAGTTGTTTCTACTACAAACGCCACAGACTCTCGACGCCTTCGCTTGACGGATATCCGACGCGTTCACTTTGCATATATGGTATATACAACTCATCCCCATGGCCAGCTGACTGCCTATGGCCACAGACTTTCGACGACTTCGCTTAACAGATACAACTGCTTAGTTCTGCTTCCGTTTCACAGACTCTTCGCTCCAGGAGGCTGGGAGGCAGGGGCCAAGGCTGGGGCTGAGTGGGGGCTGAGACTTTGGGTGGCTATGGCTGCGCTGCCGGGGCTGAGGTTGCGAGCTGGGATTGTGGTGCTGGAGGGGTTGGGGGGGCTGGGGCTGGGGCTGGGGCTGGGGCTGGGGCTGGGGCTGGGGCTGGGGCTGGGGCTCAGGCTGGGGCCGATGAGGTCTGACCCAGACCTTAAACAACTAACTTGATGAGGTCTGGCCCAGGCCTTAA